TGCTTGGCCACCCGCCAGGCTAACTGTCATGCCCTGCCCCCCTCCCCGACCCTACCGTGTCCGCTGACACGAACGGCGCAACAAAACTAGCGATTGATAACAATTTTTCAATGATGAGAACGGGAGAAGGGGCTCCCGGATGTCCTGCCGGTACAGACCCAGTTGGACACATCATGGATTCCTGGAAACAGTGGAACTTGATTTGTTTATCTCAGCTGTTTGTCGAGGACTCTGAAGACGTGTGGATATTCGTGGTGTTGATGTCAGGTTTCCTGCTCATTGGCCTTGGAGGCTACCTGGCTTACCGGAAAATTAACGAGCTGTCAAGGAATGTTGGCCTGATCCCGGAGTTCAGGGATGGTTTGCACCGCGTTGTGAATTCACAGACTCACATAACTGTCGAGATGAGTCGTAAGCTTGGGACTTTGGCCGAGATTCATTCAGTGGCACAAATGATGGATGACATGAGAGGAAATTATCTCTGTCTGGCCCCAAAACAATTTCTAATCAAAATCTGGCGTCCTTGAACCTGCAAGGCTCCAACAAAACTCCCCCCTCAGAAGATATGTGGAATGTGCTGTCACTATGGCAACTCTGCCTCCTTTCCCAGCCTGGGCAGGACAGTGGGAAGGCCGCCGAGGCGTCCAGGGTCACTGCAACCCTCCAACCCTCAATGCTCCCCCACCTATCCACACTGAGGTGACATGTGCTGCTTATCGTGGCTGCAGGAACTGAAGCTGGGATAGTCCCAACCCACCACCCCTCCTAGTGGACACTTATGTTGTGTTGTCTGAAGTCTGTTGCATATCTGTTGAGGTGTTTTTTGCAGAGCAAAGCTGCCCTCCTGGTGGAGGGTAACTCTGAAGTGCCTTTTTTTCCCTCCACCTGAACCAATCCTCATGTAACCCTCTGATCTCTATTAAGGTAGCACGACTCAGGGTTGCGAATGACCACAGTCACCAATTCTTGTCATGTGTCTTGCCCATGTATGTCTGATCTCTGAATTTTGTGCACTGAAACTCTTAATTTCCCTCTGGGATCAATAAAGTATCTTTGATTGATTGATTGATTGATTGATTGATTGATTGATTGATTCACTCACTCAGTCATTCCTTGGAGGTGGTAACGTGTGTTTTAGCTGGTCTGGCAGAGGACAGGCTGGCATGTGTCAGCCATTTTGATTACCACCAAGCAATTCAGATAGCGTGTAACAGGATGGACTTGGACTCAAACTGCCAACTCTCAAATTATCTTTGAGCTCCTGAAGCATCAGGTGTTTATAAGTTTTTGTGTTTTACTGAAATTACGATAAAGCTTTGGAACACAAAGCCGGGTTTGAACACGTTCCTCGCTTTTCTGCTGTCTCTGCCTCCATTATTATGAACTCTCACCCCCTAGTTCCGCTCCTTCACAACACTTTTACATCAAGGCGTTTTATATGTCTTCCACATCGTGAACACAGTTGTCGTTTAAAGAAAAGCTGCATCAGTGTAGGTTTTGTAATATTGAAGTGTAATATGGTGTTCCATTGGATTGCATTGCAGCTGTATTGTTACACAAAATGCATTGCCTTTAAAACTGCTCACTGCTTGTCATCCCAGCTTATAAATCTACTTTCTGGGTTAGAATACATTTGTTTCCCTCTTTGGTCTTTTGCTTTGTTGAAATGCATTTGAATTGTGCACATCCACGCTTGGTTTCTCTTGCAGAACATTATTTATTTGAAGTGCTGTTGCAGCAGAGATGACAGCGTGTTCTTTGTACTCAATGCAAAGACACAACAAGTACTGATGTACACAAATAGGAATGAGTATATTTTTAAAGTTTAATAGAAATCTAACGGTTACTGCGGGCATGTCTGGCAGGACCATCATGTTGACACGTTGCTAGTGCAGGAAACTGAACAACAGAGAAGGAGGAGAGGAAACGGGGGAGTATAGGAGAAGTGTTCTCATGCTGCTGTGATGCAGCCACCACCTGTAGGTCTTTTAGCTCGGTTACAATCCTGTGTGGACGTTGCACGAAAGGTCACAGTTTTCCTGCTTCAACCGTCGTGGCCAACTGTTTGAAAATGGCCAAAAATAGTAAATGTAGACCGAAAGTTCACGTTTTATGATGGCAGTTGAAATAGGATGTTCTGAGGAGTGAATCACTCAGTGCCTTGAGAATAAACCCATGCATTAAAAGTTTTCCTAAAACATTCCAACAAGCACAAGGAATATCCTGATTGTATCCAACTGCGGGATTGGAGCCAGGGGTGGACTGGGACCACTTGGTCCTGACACTTTTGTGAACCGTCGGCCCTTAGTGTGTGTGTGTGTGTGTGTGTGTGTGTGGGTGGGGGGTCATCTGAGAAGTGGCTGTGGTTGGCACTAAATGCACTAAACATAATTACCGTGTGCTTATCAGCAGAAAATGTTACTGTTATACCTCCTCATGTTGTTGGCTCACTGATATTTTGATTCTGTTCTCTCTCTCTCTCTCTCTCTCTCTCTCTCTCTCTCTCTGTCTCTCTCTCTGTCTCTCTCTCTGTCTCTCTCTCTCTGTCTCTCTCTCTCTGTCTCTCTCTCTCTGTCTCTCTCTCTCTGTCTCTCTCTCTGTCTCTCTCTGTCTCTCTCTCTCTCTCTCTCTCTCTCTCTCTCTCTCTCTCTCTCTCTCTCTCTCTCTCTCTCTCTCTCTCTCTCTCTCTCTCTCTCTCTCTCTCTCTCTCTCTCTCTCTCTCTGAATTCTTTAACACCCTTTATTGTTTATTTTGTGAAGCATTTCATTTAAATATCTGAATTACACATTTCTTCCTTTTGTTAACTGGAATAAACACTGAACTATTTTAAGAACCTGTCAGAGCAACACAGATGTGACACACGTGGCCCTGGATATCTGAGTGATTCCCCCTCGAGTGCCTCGTGTTTTTTAATAAACACCAGAGACCATCTTTGACATTGAAAAGCAGCAACATGAGAGTGACCAGCAGCCGGTGAGGCGGACGCTTCATCGATTTATCCGCCAAAGACCAATTTCACAGGAGCAGCGAGTGAGTCGGGGTTAAAGAACGGTGGCAGAGAGACACGGAGCAGCAGAGATGAAGAGAGATTGTTTTTCATTTGTGTTATTGATGAACTAATCTCACTGCTTGGCCTAATCAGAGCATCATTTCAAAGGCTGTTTGTTCTCACCAGTTGGGAATCAATTGCTCACGCTCTGATCGCCTGCTTTTTTCTCTCTCGCCTCTAAAAGTGATAAACTAATAATGATCATGCTTCACCCTGACAGTTATCGTCTGCGTTAAATTCCCTCTTCTTATGTAGATATGCCTCAGCACATTCAAGTCATGTTTATTATTATTATTATTATTATTATTATTATTATTATTATTATGTTTATTTAATTGGCAGACGCTTTTATCCAAAGCGACTTACAATTTATAACCTATAGGGCATGTTGTGACCTGTGGTGGAAACCGGAGTACCCGGAGGAAACCCATGCATGCATGAGGAGAACACGCAACTCCACGCAGAAAGGCCCAAGCCGAGTTTCGAACCTGCAACCGTCGTGCTGCGAGGCAACAGTGCTAACCACTGCGCCACCATGCAGCTCAGTCATGTGTTTCTTTTCTACCCTGATGTGGATTCAGGATCAAAACGCACACATGGAAGGTAGTAATACCACATCGGTGCACCACTTCCTATAATTTTGATTAAATGTAGTAAATTCAGACTTTAAACTAAAGCTGGAGGGAATAATAATTTTCCCTGTAACTTGGAAGGGACTCCTGTTTCCTTTTTGCGACCATAGGCAACGGAGGTTAAAGACAATGTTAGCGTTCAGCGTGTGTCTGCAGCTCAGAGTAACCGATCGTATTTCAGAAAGAACAAATATTACACAGTTTCTATGGGAATGGGACGTTAAAAGTACCTCCGGGGGGGGGGGGGTCCGACTCCATCAGCCAAAACCTGAAACGTTCCTGCTGCAGGGAAGGATTTAGAAAGTCAAACCTTTCCATCTGCATTCTGGTTTTGTGTGATTTATTGCATTTGACTGCTCTCCGTTTGCTGTAAAAAGAAATTTGTCACCACAAAAGTCTTATTTTTCAACAAGTTACAGCCTTAAAATTACAAACCGACTTTCATCCGTTACTTGTCAGAGATGCGGTGGGTTTCCCAGAACCGTTGCTGTTGTAGTCGGTTGTTAAAGTTTGTAACATTAATCACACTTACGCTCCGCTCGTTAGTTTTAATTAGGTCTTCTTTATTAAATCATATAATTCAATAAACACCGAAGGTGTGTTTTTGTTCCAAGAGAAGCTAAGAGGAGAGAGATGAGCTGCCTTAAAATGCAACCCCATTCATCATCACGAGAGTACCGCCTTAAAAGTGAGACGCATCCATCAGCTTATTGGCAAGCGCCTAATGAGCGCCGGGGCACTTCATCAGCTTCAGCTCAATCCGGCCCCTCATTCATCTGAGAGCAGAAGGCCTGTCTGTTAATGTCAGCGCCGACGCACGGCACACGGGCGAGCCGTGCGGGTCACACTCCGATAGAAACGCGGGTACAGGTGAGAACCACACACCTTAATTAGCCCGGGAGCTCGATCGGATGTCTGAGAAGCTAAAGGTTTCTCTCATGTGTCTTCACATTTAAATCCACTGGTTCAACTCTGTTTGTTACAAACGGCCAATAGAGGCGCTCCGGGCTCTGTGACAGGTGAGCGTTTGGAGACAAAAATCATCACACTGATCTGGTAGGTCGGACGCTTTGGTGACGTGTTTTATCCGTCAGAATGTTACGTTGCTGCAAACAAGTCGTGAAAATGACGTTTTCTTGTTGTTGTTAAGTAAAAACTGATATTAATGTCTTGACTGTTAAACATCTGGTGTCTTTTTAAACGTGGCTTCATCCTTTTATTTTACTCTGTTGATAGTTACCAGGCTCCTGCAGGTCTTATAGGGAGGAGTAGGTTTTAGGAGGATGACCTAGCCTTGGCACCGAACCTTTCTGTCATGTTTGGAGGAAGGTACTTAACCCAAGACACGCAGAATACAACACTGACCAAAAATGGATGAAAAAATGATTTATTTATAAGGAGGAACTTAAGGTGCACAGATAAGTCTGTGGTTGGAACTGCAACAACAGCTCAGCGTCTGGAGGAGGGAGAACACAGGTGAGTTTAGGTTCTGGTTTCAAAATCCATTGTAGGCAGGCAGAGGTGTTCAGCAGACTTACTGTGGTGGGTGTACGTGTTGGCTGGAGGAGAGAGAGGTAGAGAGCCGGGGGAAGCGCAGGAGAGGGAGCAGAGGTGGAGAGAAGCGGGGCGTCCTGGTGGATGGGGCACTGGGTGAGATAAGAGGTGGGTCATGGAGGGTGGTGATATGGTCCGTGTGCTGAATATCCGAATCCTGGAGTAGAGGTCAGTATCCAATGAGGTCGACAGGAATCCTGAGGAAGGGTAAATCCAATATAAGCGCAAACACTACGAATAACATTTATCCTAAGAACACCAGAGGTAACACGAGTGGCTGGTTACTACCAAAACTGAGGCAATCTTCCGGCGTCAAAGTGTGTCCACCATCCACCTTAAATAGGAAAGCACCCCGCTGATCGCTGATCAGGAACAGCTGGGCCACTCCCTCTCCTGGCAAGAGACTCACAGATGGTTAAGAGAACTGGAGTACTCACCCCGGCTCATGACACTTTCTCAGTAAAACTCCCTTGAGAAAGTCTAGCAACGGCTGTGTTGATTTAGGGTGCACCTGGAGAAAGTTTAGTCTCCGTTTACTGCTTTCCCGCCTGAGAGTCTAATGGGCTCGACACACGGGAGGCCACATCGCCTCTCCTCCATTCATTTTCAATGAGACGTGCGTGACAAAGCGATAATCGAGGGTCTCCCTCCTACCAAGCGAAACGCAAAAATCAAGCGTGTGAAATTTTGCGCTCGTGCACGTGTCGTGCACAGGCGACCCAGTGACACGATCCCAGAAAGTTGAAACATTTTCAACTTTTCATCGCTGTCGCTCGGACGAGGACCAATCAACCGAGGTTTCATTCACTGACCAATGAGCGGACAGGATGCTCCGTACACCTCCGAGCAAACATGGAGGAGAAGTTGATTATTATTATGTTTTATAGTAAAATCAGAAGTAAGATTTCACATAACTCTAGCAGCACCTTGTGAAACATCATATCTACCGCTTTATTAACTCTGAACCGCTTAAATAACCTTAATCCCCTCCAACCTGACACAGCCAAACAAAACAACGGAAGTTTCAATTTCGCCATGGAACAGAACGCGTAGACGGCTTTGCCGCTGGGTCGCCTCCCGTGTGTCAGGTAATAAAAGCGACAGCGACAAATTTCGCTGATCGTGGTCGTTTGTCGCCTCCCGTGTGTCGAGCCCCTAAGGAATGTCAAAGTGTGTGTGCTTAAAAAAAGCTTTCGGAGGACGTCAGTCTGATGAGAGTGAACTAAGACCCGTTGTTTGGTGTCTATCTTTTCCTCTCCACTTTGCAAAGTCTAAATCGATTGTTTATGATTGGTATTGGTGTTGATCGATTGATTACTATAACCCCCTGTGCTTTGAACTTTCCCTAAGGTAATCTTGGATCGATAAAATCACCCAACAGTTGCCGTTTTATTTGAGTTTGCTCAAATAAAACGGCACATCTTGCGTTCCTGGCTGAGCTGAGGAGGGTTCTGAAGACGCTGATATTCCTTTAAGAGGAAACGTCTTGTGCAAATTCTTTGAACATGTTTAAAATCCAGCGACTCAAGTTTGAGGCCCTGAGACTCGAGTTAAAATCAAGAAAATGCAGTTTTCAGTGAACCTAACAAAGTTCAAATCTGTTTCTAATGGGCTCATCACGTCTTTACGGTGCTACTTTCACTAGAAGGTCGGGTCTTTGGCTTCCGTTTTATGAGTTCTTCCTTCTGTGTGTGTCGATTATCTTCCAGTCAAGCTGAAGTCATTCAACCCAGTAAAGATGTTCCTCTCCCCGGCCTTCCTTCAGTCCTTTACATCTCTGCTTCAGCCGCTCAGTTTATACTTTCCTTTTTTCCCTCACAGCTCTGTGATTTATTGGTCGTTACGCTCCTCCTCTCGCTCTCACAGCCATCCATTATCCTCCTCTGAGGATCTTCAGGGTGCTACAGATGAAGAAGCACCCTTGTTGCCATGTTGCCTGCTAAATGTCACTTGGCATCTCCACGCTTGGCTGTCTGTTACACACATATGACATCCCACCCCCACCCCCCGAAGGAAGCATTCCCAGCAAGACCATCTGCACACCATGGGATCTTCGGGCTTTTACGGAGCTGCAGGTTAACAAAGACGTAACAGAAAAAAGAAGTCTTTGATGTCATCACAGGATCTCATTAGATTTAGTTCTATTTAAACTACACAAAAACATGTTAAATAACAACACCACATAAAGCACGACACAATGTTGTGACTAGCATGACTTTTGAGCCAGTTTTCATGTCTACACACACGCTTGTTTCAGCAGAAATGTTAAATATAATTTCTACTGGCTTTGATACCCATGTGGCAGGGTGGATAAACGAGGGCCCAGGGGGGATTCGATCCCCAGACTCCCAGGTGAGAGTCATGCACTCTAACCAGTCAGCCAAAGGGGCATCCCTTTGGCAGAGTAGCCAGGGTGCAGGATCAATCGGGATACGGTAAGAGGATGCTCACCCTGTCACATCCTCCAGGGATCGAATCCCGCCTGGGCCCTCGTTTCTCCACCTTGCCACATTTGGCGTTGTCGGCAGGATCCATGTAGTACTGTCAAGCAGCTCCATGGATGTGAAGTTTGTGGCACCCTGCACGGGAGCACGAGAACGTGCTTGTGGAAAGAAGGGGGGAGATGTGGCAGTGTGAGCGTCCTGGTTGATCATGCATGGCTGTGTGTAGCTCAGTGTGTAGCTCCCAGGGGATGGGTCAAATGTGGAGAACACATTTTCTAACTTAAAACAAAGCTGCATCATTTTGAAAATCTAACCCCGGCTTTCCACAGGAGCCGTCAGCAGCACGTCTTGCTCGCGTAAGCTGCTGCTTGGCCCTTCCTACGAGACGCGAAGCAGCAGGGGAGCAGCCGTCACCGACAGAGCATGAAGTCACGTGTGTGACTTCGTCAGTAAACACAACAACAAGCAGGAGAAAACTACAACATGGCTCCAAAAGGTTTGTGTTTTATGTTCTGTCCGTTTTATAATCGCCAATACGGACCTGAAAGCAAAGGAGACCGCTAGCTAGGTGATAACTTCTCACGGGGCCGCAGTTAGTAACTTCTTTCAAAAGTAAAGCAACCGGAAGGCAGTACGTTACTTTATTCTGAAAATCTCGGGAGCTTCGCTCCATTTCCGCGTCCGATTTCCTGTCTTTCCTTCCCCAAAAATGTCGAACTTGACCCGTTTCAGAGGCGTCGCGCGTAGAAAATAGAACCGGCGCGTAAAGGCCGCGACCTGCTGCTCCTGAGACGCGGCCGACTCGCGCTGCTGACGGCTCCGGTGGAAAAGGTTCTGTTGACCACAGCGGTTCCTATCAGCAGCTGTGACGTGCTGCTGACGGCTCCGGTGGAAAGCCGGGGTAAGAGAGCAAAATTGAGATTCTCACTATTCAACAGATTCGTGGACAACCTCTGAAAAGAATAAACTCTAAAGGAAAGCCTTGTTCCCCCTCTATAAGCTGTCTTTAAGACATCAGAAAAATCACATCAGATCATGAAAAATGAGCTCCTTTGAAACTAATCTGGGTAAAATCTCTGATTCTAGAAGCTTTGAACAGCGTTTCTCCTCCGTTCTCCTAATTAGGTCCACTCAGGCATTTGACTCCAGGAAACAACCCGGCAGCTCACCGGGCAAAAGAAGGCGAGGTGCCGAAGATCCAGAGGGCGGAGATGGCCTAACAAATGGATGAGCATCTCACCGTGCTGCCAGGGTTTGGCCGGCTCTCGGCTGACCTCGCCAGACTGCCGTTTCCTACGAAGCGTCCACGTTTCAGGGAAAACTGACGTGCAGCAAAAAGAGGTTCTTGTAGGATTCAGAGTCAAACAAGCTGGGTCGCTGTGTCTGATTAAACTCTGTGGGTTTGTGTCGTGCAACACAGAACCCTGGGTTATCTGCACAACTGAACTAGTATCACCACAGCTGCTTTTTGACAGAAACAAATGAGTGAAATAAAATCCTCCGGTAATGTAGAAAGACATTTTTCCACAAGCCCTGCAGTCTAAATACAGTCTGCCTGAACTTTTGTCTCTTATGTTTAATTCTCCTCTCTCCCCAGGGACCAGACGCTGATGCAATCAAACGAGTGCAAAAGAATAAAAAGGCCACTGGTTTCAAAGCCAACGTCAGGAAAAATGAGAGCAATAGAAGGATCACATGTTGGGAGTTTGATACGCTCCTCAGCATCTGACTGTAGTAATGTTTCGAGCAGGGGTGCTCAGTCCTGGTCCTGGAGGGCCGGTGTCCAGCACGCTTTGGTTTGAACTCTGTTTCAACACACCTGAATTCAATCAGCAGGTGATTAACAGGCTTCTGCAGAGCCTGATGAGCTGCTGCACAGGTGATTCAACCACTGAATCAAGTGTGTTGGAGCAGAGGAACCACTAAAATGTGCTGGACACTGGCCCTCCAGGACCAGGATTGGGCTCCCCTGGTGAATGCTGTCCTGATGCATTTCCATTAACACCACAGTCCCTTTACCAGAGGAGTGTGGGTTTGGTCCGCATAGCCGGTGGTAAGTCGGACCTGTTCCCGGTGAGGGTTGGACTCCGCCAGGGCTGCCCTTTGTCACCGGTTCTGTTCATTACCTTTATGGACAGAATTTCTAGACGCAGCCGTGGTGTGGAGTGTGTCGAGTTTGGTGGCAGGAGAATCTCGTCTGCTTTTTGCGGATGATGTGGTCCTCCTAGCTTCATCCAGCTCTGACCTTCAGCTCTTGCTGGGTAGGTTCGCGGCCGAGTGTGAAGCAGCTGGGATGAGGATCAGCACCTCCAAATCTGAGACCATGGTTCTCGACCGGAAAAGGGTGGCTTGCCAACTCCGGGTCGGGGGAGAGGTCCTACCTCAAGTGGAGGAGTTTAAGTATCTCGGGGTCTTGTTCACGAGTGAGGGTAGGAGGGATCGGGAGATCGACAGGCGGATCGGTTCGGCGTCTGCAGTGATGCGGGCGCTGAGCCGATCTGTCGTGGTGAAGAGGGAGCTGAGCCAGAAAGCCAGGCTCTCGATCTACCGGTCGATCTACGTCCCAATCCTCACCTATGGTCATGAGCTTTGGGTAATGACCGAAAGAACGAGATCGCGGATACAAGCGGCCGACATGAGTTTCCTCCGTAGGGTGGCCGGGCTCAGCCTTAGAGATAGGGTGAGGAGCTCGGACATTCGGGAGGGACTCGGAGTAGAACCGCTGCTCCTCCGGATCGAAAGGAGCCAGTTGAGGTGGTTTGGGCATCTGGTCAGGATGCCTCCTGGACGCCTCCCTGGGGAGGTGTTTCGGGCATGTCCTGCCGGCAGGAGGCCCCCGGGCCGACCCAGGACACGTTGGAGAGGTTACGTCTCCAATATGGTCCGGGAACGCCTTGGGGTCCTGCCGGAGGAGCTGATGGAGGTGGCCGGGGAGAGGACGGTCTGGAGCTCCCTAGTTGGGATGCTGCCCCCGCGACCCGGACCCGGATAAGCGGAGGAAGACGATGACCACCACTGGAGGTGTTTAATTATTTCATTTGTGATCTTAAACAACCAAATCCTAATATCAATGACTCAGTCTGAGTATTGAGTTTAAAGCATAAGGGTTGTAGGATGAATAGTAATATCGCTGGAAACACAAAGAAACACCCAGTAACTTTCCTCTGTGATCCTAATTATGAGCGACTGTGTGTGTCTGACATTAGTTCTTGTTTAGAACAACCATGGAGTAAAATCAGGACATGGGCCCAAATTACAGCTGGAACCTGAAAACCTGAAGTTTTGAAAGAAGCCCGTGCAGATGGGGCTGGAGATTCCAGCACCAACCTTCTTCATCCATCCATTACCTGAACCGGCTTGTCCGTGCAGAGTTCTGCCTGAACGCGGATAGAAACCCAGAGGCTCTCTGGGCTCTGTGATGGGTGACCATTTGGAGACAAAAATATCACATTGATCTGGTAGGTCAGACACTTTGGTGAGGTAATTTTATCATAATGTGACGACGTTGCAAACAAATAGTGAAAATTAGGTTTTCTTGTTGCCGTGTCATTCGAGCTTGCAACGTAGTTCCTGGCTGAGCTGAGGAGGGTTCTGACGACGCTGAGATTCTTTTAAGAGGACTTCCAGCGACTCAAGTTGGAGGCCTTGAGACTCATCTCTATCACTCACACACACACACACACACACACACACACACACACACACCTATGGATAATTTAGATGGGCCAATTAACCTAACAGTCATGTTTTGGACTGTGGGAGGAAGCCGGAGTACCCGGAGAGAACCCACGCATGCACAGGGAGAACATGCAAACTCCACGCAGAAAGATCCCAGGCCGGGAAGCGAACCCAGGACCTTCTTGCTGCAAGGCAACAGCTCTAACCACTGCATCACTGCGCAAACCATAATAGTTTGTTAGGTAAAATACTTGTAGGAGGTGCACAAAGAACTAAATTTAAAATGTTAAAGCTGCTGCCAGTGGCTCATTAAGGTCACCATAGTAACCGTTTATGACTTAAAATCATCACTATGGAAACCTACCACAGTCTTATTGAAACCACTATAGTAACCACTAGTTTCCTATCACAGTCACCATGGTAACAGTGGATCTTTAAAAGAAACACATCAGTGTCACCATGGCAACCACCAATGGTGCCTTAGCATCACCATGGTAACCACTAGAGACTAATTAGGGTAACTTTGGCGACCGTGATACATTTTAATGATTGATAATTATGTTTTTTATCAGAAACACCAGAAGAGCACAGAAGCTGAAAAAAGATCAAAAACATCAAATCTTAAGTTAGACGGAGAAAATAAAGCTGTCAGTGTGGAA